TTTCCTCTGCGTTGTACTGTACGGTGTTTTTACTCAAAAACAATGTCTTTGATGTTGGGGTGAATTGATCTGCTCTGGGTATTTCTATTGATAAGATCACGTCATTGATCTCTATCAAGAGTCTGTCTTCTCGGGTTGGTAATTTTGAGAAATTCTATGTCATCTTTAACTTTGTCTTCTCACCTCTTTCTTATGCCAACGTTTCCAGGACGTTTCTCTTGTGGGAAGTATGAAAACGTCATTTTCTGCACAACTCATGATTCCAATTAGATGAAATATTTACAAATGATTTGAAAGAATATGTTCTGAACGGTGGAGCCATGCTGTGCGGTAGTACCCTCTGGGGATGGCTTCAACTTAACGAAGGAAAACCATTGCAGGATTTTCCGTTTCAAAAGTTTTGCAGTTCTCTTGGAATTGAACTAACAGATGAATAGATTGATAATGAGAGTCTGGATCAAATACCGGTACGTCATGACTTGTTAACATATAAGAATATGAATGAAGTTAGAAATCGTCTGACTGCTGAATCAAATAATGGCGAATATTTAGCTCCTATTGGACATATGGAAAAAGTCGTATCAGGATTTCAGTTAAATAACCGGGTTCCTGGGGATTATTGGGAAGGTGATTATTAAGTTTTACACGAACACGTTAAAGAACGTTTAAAGCGCCTGTTTTTTCAATGATTTATGCTGCGTAACAGCATTCGTAAACTTTATCATTTCTTATAATATTCATTAACATTGATCGTTGATTATATAATATTATATTTCTTCTTATGTTAGACATTCACAGAAATCTGAAATAGATAAAAGGTGGAATAGTGGTTTTTTATGTTTTTCCATATAATGAGATTATCTTCGACAGAAACAGAGTGCTTTTCTATTGAATGAGTATACCTCCCATAGAATGAGAGTGTTTTTTCGCCGGATTAACCTTTTCCACAGAATCAAAACATTCTCCGAAGTAAAAGAATATCTTCCATAGAATTAGAATACTTTCGAAATAATCAGAGTGTTTTTCCATAAATAAAAATAGATAAAAAGTGGAATAGCCAAAACAAATAAAGAAAAAAGGAATGAAGGATACGTGAGTTCTAGGATTAAAGGACTGTGGGATGAAAAGATTGTAGGATTAGTGAATCTAGGGATTGTATGATTCAAGACTTCTGAAGATTTAACATTTTATGTTACATGGATAACAGGATTGTATAAAAGCAGGGTTAAAAGTGAATCATTCACTTGCTATGTGATCAGTGATATTATTCATCGAGACGATACCTTGTGCATCTAAGCTTTTGTTTCACTCTGCAAATTTAAAACTTCGAAATATCCGAATAGAGCGCCTTCATGGATCGAAGAATCGTAGTATGGTCGGATTCTAGGAACCTAGCATTGTAGAATTTATCCATTGTTGGCTTGTAAGAATGAAGGACTCAAAGCTCTTAACAGAGAAATACGAGGGCAGTGTTTAAAATCGGTCTTTGATAATGCGCAAATGGCTTAGAAGTTCAAGCTAAAGGTCCACAAACAGGGGTGACTAAGTATTAAAACATAAAAACCAAATAATAGTCTATTGTAAAATACATATGAATATATGCATTCAACGTCAAAAACATCTGAAATCCTTTCATAAATAAAACTGTTCAGAAAATAGAAAACTATCGCGTTAGATAGTTCGTCACGGTGACCCAGCTAACAGAAAGAAGTTCAAAATCCATAACAAAAAATCGTTGCAAGACATTCGACCGTCATCTGCGATCATCGTCGTAGTAACAAAACTAAAATTGAAATTCACTTTTCAGCTAAGGACTTAACTTAGATTAAGCGAAATAATAATTAAACATAGTTATTTCAATACGCGAATCTTAATTCCCACGTTAAGCTCCTGCACAATTGACAGTACTATTTTTGTTACATTTTGTAAATACATCATTTTTCTATTTTTTATGTTTACTGGACATGCTAGAAGACTTAGTTAGAAGGAGAGATGTTCGATTCTCGTGCAGAACCAGAAGCAGAAATTCCATCAGAATCATTATTTGTCTTTTGTTTTTTATTTCGAGAAAAAAAAGATGTAATCTGACTCTGTTTAGACTATTATTTCAAATAACAGTCACAGTTCTATACTACATATTTTTCTATTTAAAAATTTTTTCTAGTGTTTTTGTTCTCTCTTGTTTCAACTAGTATATATAATCATCTCTCTTCTAAATTCGACAGTCATATTAGCCTGCTGATGGTACTGTGAAGTATCGAAAACTAGCTTTTTATGTAAAATGAGTTTACAAAAATGTTTTTCAATTATATTAAATATACTTAGTTTTATAAAAAACGTAAAAGAGTCAAAGAATTCCAATATATTTTAATAGCTTATTTGATGAAATTAATAACCGAATTCTTGCATACATAATACATATTTGTTGTATCGTGCATGGAGTTATTCTACAATATGCTTGTTGAACAGAAGAACCTTAGGTCTATTTCTGAGAGACAGGAAAGGGAACTAAAATAAACTGCTACAGAGCTACTATCCATCTCAAAAGACAAGGCAGTCCATCAAATGGCGTAACCAGGATTTTTAAGTTGTTGGATCGTGAGGGGGGACCTCTTTTCAGAAAAACTTTTGTAACTTCAGAACGAAAATGGCTTGGAACGAAAAAATTATAAATTAAACCTGTTTTTTGATGGCGAATCAAATGGGGTAGTTTTTATCGAAATAGAAGTTTACTTTCTTCGTTTCCTGGCCCATTTGACTAATGCTTGATGGTTTGGCGACAGACCCTCGAGCTCTTTAAAGAATGTAACTGTGATATCCAATATGTTACGAAAAAGACATCATGAAGATAATATATGTCGTTTCGAGTCAATAGATAACATATTGCAACTTAGATATACTGATAATAATTTATTATTTACTTTGAACCTTTTTGGCATAAAACCACTTTTATTTATGACATAATAAAAAAATTCCGTTGTTTTAAGGCTTTTACCTTTTTTGTCGTAGTCAGCATAATTGAGTTTACTAATCAATGCATACTCATGATTATTGAATTTTATGAAAACTTTTAACTATTTCAGCCTTTTATTCTTTGTTTCTATTTCAGCGGTTCTACAAACTATTTGCCAGTGCGCTTAATAATAAAATCCTGTTGGAGCTTCCCTAACTGATTGACTGGATGAAAGTCATAAAAATACGCCCTGTTTTATAGAAGGAGTACAAGACTGCTAGTCGTTTTCTTTTTCTATGTTCGTATAATATAATGTTCGAAGCTACTTTTTCCGTGGATGAACAATATTATCTTGTTTTTACCAGAGCACGTAATGAAAATAAGAAAAATCAATTTGAGGATCAAAGCGATCAATAACGTATACGAAGCTTTTCCAGTGTTGAGTCTTTTCTTATTGATGCGCCCGATCGTCAAGACTCAGATTGTGTTGCTAGATAGAGTTAAGTATCAGGCAATTTTTGACTCTATCTCTCACTCTTGCACGGTGTTTTCCACTCTACAAAATCCAGTATAAACGATATCTTTACTATACTTTCTTACTGAGTGGAAAACGTTTTTCATCTCGTATCAGTAACTGGTCCAACCTTCTAAAAGATTATTTTTTGAGAAACGATCATAGTTTCAAACCAAAAATTAAATATGGTTAGATACGTAATAAAATTCTCTATCGAACCTGCTATTCAGTTTTTGATTTGTTTGTTCTGCCTTACGTTTCCGAGAGAGCAGGCGGTCATTCGCGAAACCCTATTCTCCTCTTCATAGTGACTATACCGTCCAAAAAAGTCTTTCTTCTTTGTTGTTCTTCATTCTTGTGGGACTTCTTTCTCCTGTTTTGTTGAAATAGACGAGTGTAAACTTATTATGGGCCAGTCGACAGAGGTAGATAAAATAAGGCAAACAAAGGAGGTAAGTGGCTAAGTCTTTTTGTATTCCTGATTTTTGCGAACAAAACCACGTTTTTCAAATCAGCTTCAAGTTTGGAATTAAACCTTCGACTCAGATTCCGAAAAAGACTGAAAAAATGTTTTCGACTTTTTTGCCCATGCTGCCTCGGATAATTCAAGAAACATTTTTTATGTCAGAATTCGAAAACCTCAAATGAGTTAAAGGTTATCGGCTGTGATGATTACGAATAGCATAGTTTGAATTCATAAGATTGAGATTTCGACGGAGAAAATTGAATCTATGCCTGCTGTTAATTTAAAAAAGAGTATTCTAGTCAGATTATTGGGTTCCTCATCGCTTCAATGTTCATTCTTATCTGTAGCTGACTTCCCAGAACCCAGAAAACTCTTGAAAAATCATGTATCAAGAAACCTCGAGAAACTAAAAACGGTTGATACAGAAGCCTAGCGACCTACAAAATAAAGCGTTGCTGAGTCCTGTGTGGCTTTTAGTTGTCGAAATGCAGATATTTTCCAAGTCTTGAATTTACCTATTTAGGATATGAGGGTTGCCTTACACCTCCTATAACCATGAGGTCTGAAGTCGAAAAAGAAGTTTCCTGATCCACCATAGTTTCGTCCGGAGAATCAATCAGACACGCATTAGGGTGAATTTAAATCTCATCGTTTAGCGGCTTGTCTCGTTAGAGTTATGGATGATCTACTAAAAACTAGTTTTGTTTTCTCTGACGCAGCACTTTAAGTGACAGGTTCCTAGATACACTTTTTTCAATAATGAAGACTCGCTACAGCGCTGTCTGTCGACATTAGAATCGAAGAGACTAAAGAGCAACGGTGTCGTCAATGAGTATGCAAAAGGCATACCTCTAGCTGCTGAATGACTACGTAAGATTCGAATAGCTGTTGAGATAGTATATAAACAAGCTTGTAGAGCTAAGACGAATAATCATTTCATCATAACGCTCAGCCTTTACTTGATTCAACGACAACAAAAGAAACACAAGTACGTAAAAATGGTACAACTGACAACAACAATGACAATTGCTGTAGCAACGATGATAGCGATTATGTGTCAATTGGGTTGTTATGGTGCAGCAATTCAAAATCGAAGAAAACGTCAGGGTGGATTAGCACCAAAATTTGACTTAAACAGTGGCGCTTTTACAGTAACGTTTGCTGGTACTGCAATTTCATATACTGGTTTCGATAGCAATGGAGGAGGTGTTACTGTAACAAGTTCCTTATTATCTATTACAGCTACTGAACTATTGATAGCTGGAGGTGGTACTAATGATCAATATTCGTATTCTGCAACTATAACACAAATGAGTACCAGCTCTATTTTCCCTACTGAACCAACATTTGATTTAAACACCAGCAATGTAACGTTTAGTACAGATGGCAAGAATATAATCATGTCCGGAACAGATACGAATCAACAACCTATCACGGAAGTAACTCCAATTGGTTCTGCAACCTTCTCTCCAGCAAATTTGCAGATCTCTAGTAATGGCGAACTACATATGTACCAATGGACAATGATTGCTGTTACAGTAACAGTTTAATATATGTACACTTAATTCTTCTTTTTCTAAAACAGACAGTATTCGATGATTCGACTTGAATTTATGTTTTACATTCATATTTTGACAGTTGTTAGAAAGAATACTGTATTATGATTTAGTAAGGTGCCGGCAATTCAAACTTCTAGTAAAATTTTTTTTTCGCCTTTTTTTACAGCATTTGATAGAGTTTGAACTGCTGATCATGAAAAACTACTTTTTAGCCTTAGCAAATGCTGTTTTCAGATTGAAAAATACGAAAAATTTGAAATATTTCATTATATGTACATTTTAAACTCTTTTATTTGTTAAAATTTTTTATTTATAAACTTTTTTTATTTACTGTTAGTGCCTATGGTTGCCAATAGTAGACT